TAATATAAAAAATTATTAAGATGATGATTGTGTTTTCTAAAAAATAAGATTTTCAAGTAATTTATTCAATTGAGTTTAATAAATTTAATTAATTTAATAATATGATTAGAAAAAAAATATCAACAATATATAAAGTGAAAAAACCTAACAATGATTTAATGCAAAAAAAAAATGTAAATCATGAAAATATATCTTTTCAATATTATTAAAAGGTCTTGTGATTTTATTTGTTAACAAAGTAAAAATTATATAAAAATAGAATAATCACATAGAAAGCCAAATTAAAAAAAAAAATGAATATCAATTCTTAGCAAATAAAATATCGAATAGCGAAATTGAAAAAAATATTAAAAAAAAAAAACTCGAGTTTATCCAATCTAGCAAGCCAAATCTACAATCTAGTCATAAAACTGAGATAACTCTATGAAAATCAAATCAAATAAAATTTTGAAGTTTAATTATCAAATGAACTAGTGTTACAAATGCAAAATAAAAAAACAAAAACTTGAGTCTACCTTAGTAAACTACCGAATCCATGATTCGGAACATGAAATCAGAATAAATTCATGTGAATAAAAGTGAAAAAATAACTAATACAAATCCTCAACTACCATGATATTAAAGGATAAAATTAAAAAAATTAAATTCAATCTTATCTAATCTCTTAAACTCGTGACATGGATCATGAGGTTGGATTGAACCATAAAAATCATACCCAAAAAAACTATGAAGCTAGATTTTCAATTAATCAAATAATAAGTGGTAAAGTTGAAAAAATGAAAAAAAGATAAAATAATAAAATTGAAAAAAACAAGAAATTGATATAAAAAGAAAATAAAATCAAATTATAAGAGATTAAATTGAAAAAAAAATTCAATTAAGAAAGTTTTTTTAAAAAAATATGGATCAAATTTGATATAAAAATTAAGTGTCAAATAATGAATTTGAAAAACAAATAAATCAAGTTTGATATAATTAAAAAAACAAGAATCAAATATAATAAAATTAACAAATAATTATACTTTTCTCATTTTTTACAAGGACAATGTGTTTTTCAATCTTATAGAAAAAGAACAAATATATATATATATCATCAAAGCTTCACCATGTAAGGACGGCTACACACGCCTCTCCCTCACAAAATGACAAGGAGACGCAACAAATACTATCCTAAAATATGATGTTCGACTACTGGAAGGTGCCACACTTACTACCTAAAGGGCATAAACACCCCAACGCATGCTCCTTGGATTTTTTTTTTCAAAAGGTTTTATATTCTATTTTATTTGGATCCATCTTGGAGATGCTATCCACTCTCAATGCTAATGGCGATGTTAATTACTGTAGAAAATAAGCTTTACAGTAGGTTCATGACTAAATAACAATATAACTTTTCTAGAATTTGCACTAAGGGCATGCCTTAACAAGGATTAAGCATGCTCGTACACCGCTACCTATTTGCGATCCAACAACCAAAAACAAGGTAATTAACCTTAAATGTGTATTCGAAAGGCACATATTAAACGAACCCATAATAAGAATTTCTCGTACTTTATGGGTTGATTATGAGCCAGAACTCACTGGGCTAGTGAAAATTATTGTTCCTGAAAATTTTCTTAAAAAAAAACTTTATACAGATTGATGCAGCTCTTGTGACCTTTGTAACCATGGGCTTCCAGCCCAATATTAATGGAATGGTTCTTTTAGCTGTTAAAAAAAAGAGAGAACCTTGTGTTTTCTGCAGTCTGGAGTCGGTTCTGGGCACATCACTGGAGAATAGAATCAAATCTTGCTATTTATCATTTTTATTTCTTAAACTGCACAATCGAACGAAGAGATTGATGGGCATGTCCCTTCGGCCTGAAATTACTGCACAACCCCAAATCCCAATTAACCAGCAGACCACGGACGCAATGCAAATACAAACACCAATTTTTTATACTAAACAGAAATCTGAACACATACTAACAAGCAGAGACCATCTCGAATAAGCCTGTTTGATTTTATTTAGGTTCCTTCTTATTCGATGTTGAATTTATACCCATCTTGCAATATTTCAACATTGAAAAGAGACAAACTTCCTAGAATCCTTTCTTCCCCCTTTATCTATAACATGAAGGACAAAGCAATCACTTTTCCTTCTCAGAAATTTCAATGTCCTATCAAAGTAGATTGAGTTCAATAACAGAAAAACCAAACAAATATTTATTTAATGTTGAGTTCATTAGAAACTAGAACTTCAATATAAAAATAACAAGAGCATGACTTGAAATCCCCTTTTGCTTTCTTTGTTTTTGATCAACAGACAGAAACAGGAAATGCAGACCCACAAAGGCATTTTTAAGACATAACCCAGCAAATCTTAACCCCTCAAGAAAACACAAAGAAACTCACTTCAAATAGCATCACGATAAGCCTCAAGTGCAGAGCCAGTCAGCCGGCAAATCCTCCATTCTGGCAAAACATTAGCACCCATTTCCTCGTAAAACTTGATAGCATTAACATTCCAGTCAAGAACGACCCATTCCACTCTCCCATATCCCATTTTCACGGCCTGTGAAGCCACAGCAGAAAGCAACAACTTCCCTAGTCCCTTTCTTCTATAGCACTCCCTCACAAACAAATCCTCCACATAAAACCCTGGCTTCCCCAAAAAAGTTGAGAAATTTGGAAAAAACAAAACAAACCCAGCAACAACATCACCATTGATCCCATTTTTGAAAGTCTCAGCTTCTGGGTCTATTAAAGAATGATCAAGATTGAAAATTCTTTCAATGGGAGTGAAGCTTTGAGAGTGGAAGTTCGAATCTTTTTCAAAAGGGTGTGAGGAGACTTCAAGAAGGAAGATGGTGAAAGATAGGAAAGGTGGAGACTTGAAGAGGGTAGAGGCAAGGGAGGATTCTGTGGCAGTGAAAAGGTGGGTTAACTTTTCAAAGATGGCCATTTGGTGGATGAGTTTGTGGATAAGAGGGATGTCTGCTGGTGTTGCTAGGCGGATCCTGGCGAAGAGAGGGTGGCCTACTGGTGTTGAATCTGAGTCTGAGAGGCCTGTAGGGGCGGAGGG